GAATAGTTTCTCTGGTGTGAAAAACTAAAAGGGTAAATAAGGATCAAAGGGTATAAGTGATATTGTGAAATAGGAAGAAAAGGTCTAAAGGAGTAGGGGAAGTGGGAGAGGTAGGGGAAAGGAAAGAAGGGAAAAGAAAAAATATGAGAAAAGGAAACAATGAAAACAAAGTCTTTGTAAATAGGGAAGGGTGGAAGGGGTGAAGGGAGGGCAGGGGAAGGGGGAAAAAAAGGAACCAAGATACATCATGTAAAGGTACAAGTTGCAATGATGAATGTAACTGTATTGTATACCTAAAATGTACCACTAAACGTAATGGAAAAAAAAAATAAGAACCACACTTCTATTTAACCTGTCTTCTTAACAGATGAACCCAGCAATAATGAATATAACTAGGACTCAGATTATAGCACTTAAACCTCCCACCACTTCCCTCAAACTACAACTTTTTAGAGAAAACTCTAATTTCATTTCTTGGTCAAGAAATGTTCATAATCTATTTATAAAATCTGGTCATACCAGAAAGAAAGACAAAGATAGTGTTAAAAACGAACAAAACAAAACTGAAGAGCTACCATGAAAAGATGTTCACTGGCTACCAACAGGAAACGCTTAAAACTTAAAAAGAGTAAGAATTACAATGGACTGAAACACATACGCTTGGATCTTTAAATCCATGAGTTCATGATACATGCCCCCCAACCCTGAGGAAGAAATCTCATCTATCACCTGTGGACAATAAGTCTAAGAAATAAGTATATTATTTTGAACATTATTAGTAAAAAAAGGAAAAGAATTAATCCCTTGAAGTGATCTTGCCAAAATCTTGAAATGAATCTGATTAAGCTGATTTGCAGGAAGTTTAAAAAAAGAGACCAGCATGTTATTCAAAACGATGGAGATATAATCAAAATCTGGGGCTAGAAGTATAGATCAGTGGTAGAGCACTTGCTTAGCATGTGTAAGACCCTGGATTCCATCCTCAGGATGGGGGTGGGGAGGAACTGGGCTATAAAAATTTCTACAGAATAATCAACACGGTCTCTAAGAAATAAAAGGAAATATGAGTGGGAGACCTATAGATATACAGAAACTTAAAAGACATTTTAACCAGTTATGCTATATAAATCTCATTTGGATCCTGATTTGAACAAATTTAACTTTTTAAAACTTTATGAGAGGGGCCAGGGATTTAGCTCAGTGGTTCTGCCGCCCACCTTGCAAGCGCAAGGACCTGAGTTCGATCCCCAGTACAAAAAAAACTTTATGAGACAACTGGGAAATTTAAATATTGACTAGATACTATGTGATATTAAAGTATTATCAACTTAAAAATAAGTATACAGTGGTGATATTTTCAAAAGGGAGTGTTTATCTTTAATAAAAGATACTCAGGGAGCTGGGGATGTAGCTCAGTGGTAGAACACCTGCCCTGCATTGCACGAGGCCCTGGGTTCAATTCCCACTATTGTGTTAAAAAAAAAAACAACTGGTAAAATCACATTATTTGCAAATGTCATATTTGTAAATTTGTCTACTTGATAAAATTTATTTCTAACTCTAAAGTTAAACCTTGAAGGAGTTTCATGGTCACTTATAAGAAGTACACACATAGTAAAAAATCTGAGTTGACAAACATCCACATTCCCAGCTGAGGTCAAACAAAATGATGTTCTGACTTATTGTTTCAGCTCTCGGACTATAAACAAGTGTCCTTTTTATGATTTTCTGCCACTTTTTTGCTGAATACTATGATTCTTTGTTTTTGGTACCAGGAATCAAACTCAGGACCTTGCGCTTGCCAGGCAGGTGCAGCATCACTGAGTTACATTCCAGGCCCCAGGTATACTATGATTCTCATGTTTAAAAACAGCCTCCAGTGTGATGCTGAAGTATTGTCTAGTGTTCTTACATGATGTGCCTTACAGAGAAAACATGTTAGATAAACTTTGTTCAGGCATGAAGTTAAAGGGCTGTTGGTTATTAGCTCAATGTTAACAAATCAACAACATAAACTAAGTAAGGAGTTTTTCAAAAGAAACACACATAAAACAACACTATGTACTGACTGGCTTATGAAAATGTAATCAGAGTATTGGAGAAACCTAACCTTGCATGTCCTCAAGGAGCAATAATTCAGTATTCAGTAAGTCAATATTTGCAGTGACTTTATTAAACATAACTTCTGTGACTAATGAAAATCAACTGTAATCTGAAATGTCTACTTATGAAAACCTACTATGCTGGAAAACTGCTTCAAACTAATTTGGAGTGGGTTAGGGTAGCCTGAAGTTGATTGCTAAAGTTGAATAAGAGGCACATGAGGTTCATCATACTATCATCTCTACTTCTGTGTGTGCTTCAAATTTTTACAATAAAAAGTTTTAATATTTTTTGGAAGGAAAGGTATCTTGCTTAAATCTCTACTTGAAAGATATTACATTTCTGACTAATAATATACATGGGCCTATTTTCTCCAGTATATTATGTCTTGAGTTCAATTTTGTCTTTAAAGGTAAAAAAGAATTTTTATATGACCATTTATAGTATCCGTCTCTACAACAACCCAAGTCCAAGTCATCCTATCCATTTATTTATTCATTCAAAAATATCTATTTAGCATCCATTACATACAGAATACCTCTGGCTCCTGAACCTTCAGCCTGGAGAGTCAGTCAAAGCTCAGTTCCACCTCCCCACTACCATAGCTGAATAAGCAAACTGTCAGAGGCTGAAGCAGCTGGTTATCCTTTTTGAACTTTATTCATCTTAGTTTTTGCCCACTATTCCCTTATTACCATCCCAGGTCCTTGCAGTAGTCTTTTTAATTGTCTTTCACTGGGCAAAGTGTCAGAAGTCGAAGTCTTCTTAAGGTTTAGGGTCAAGGTTTTAAGGGTTTTAAATAGAATTTAACCAGTTTCCAATTGATGGGATAAAGAAGATGTGTTTTTTATTTATAAAATGGAGTACTACTCAGCCATAAAGAATGAAAAGCTAGAGTCATTTATAGCTAAATGGATGCATATAGAGGCCATACTCTTAAGTGAAA